ATGTGGTTAAGGTCCCACCTCTTAAATAGCAGGTAGAATTTTACAGGATATATGTAATTTTACAAGACATATGTAGGTAACATTCAAAGCAGACAAAAGGTGTATGCAAAATTACCAATTACCAAACCGTTAAAAAGCGTGCCATAATCAAGGATTGCTTAGTCATGGGACATGTTACCCTCAGGATACAGTTGGGAAGGATGTAAAGTGGGGTGGGTACAAGGTGTATTGGTGGGTTGTGGTGCCATCAACGAAGGGAGCAACTTAAGTAGGAAAATCAGGTTTTAGAGTGGTATAAAATGAAGCTGAATAGAGACCAAAAAAACTTAGACCGTTTAGAACCAATGCAATTTTGCCATAGACTGATATCAAGATGGGAGCTAAAATCAGTTAATTAAAGCAATGATGCCTGGTTCCACTAGCTTATCAGTTACATTGCTCACATTTATGATTTTACAGATTTGTCATACTTACAAAAATAGATGTCATATTTACACAAATGAATTTTTATAACATTAAATTTGAGTTTTAAAGTTCAAGAGGGCTATGATCAATCATGTGCCCATCAGCAGCTAAATCATAGATAGAGACGGATGTTAGATACATAGATGCATAGATAACAGGTATAGACAGATGATTGATTGATAAGTATCGATAGATTAACACTATGTTTTTTTTCTTCTTCTTCTATAAAAAGTGTGACAGTTTGATGCATTTTGTTATATGTTGATCCCTTAGCTCTCACACTGAGTTTTGGAGTTGTAGAAAGTCTGCTATCTATTTTGTCTTTGTAGGAAAGCTGTCTCTTCTGAGTGTTGAAGATTTCAGAATCCATGCCCATCCATGCCCCATGGTAATCTGCTGTGTCACTCTGATGTATCTGTCTGAAGATTTATTTTCTTTGCTTGGGAGTCATAAGACTGGAATATGAAAATTTATGTATTTCTTCAATTCTGAAGAAATTTTCGCCATTATCTTTGAAGAGCCTCCTCTCTATTATCTGTATTCTTTCCTTCAGTAACATTTGGATGGATGCTAAATCAGCTCCCTGGATTCTCCATTTTCTTATGCTTTTTTCATATTTTGAACTTGTCTGCCCTCTGTGGACTGCTAAAGGCAACTCCTCCCGTCTCCCCTTCAGTTCACTGTCTCTCTCTTTGGTTACATTGAGTCTATTATTTAAACTCTTTATTGAATTTCTGATTCTGGCTATTATGGTTTTCACTTCTGGAAGTTCTATTCTATTTTATATTTGCCTCATAGTATTTTACATCATGATTATACATTTGATATCTCCTTTCTATTAATATTAATCTTGTTAGAGAATCCTATTTATATGCTGTATCTGTAATTGCAAGATCTGCAGTCTGTATAGATCTGACTCTGTCGTCTGTTCTTTGTTCTGCTGCTGACGCACTCACTATGTTCTATTTCCCCCTGGGATTTCTCACTGTGGGCTCATGGTCCTTGGTACTCTATGAGTATCCCTCAGTTTGGCTGTATAATGTGCTATGAACACAGAATTTACATTTAGTTCTTCCAGGTGAAGGGTATATTAGCAACCCAGATATTCTTTAAACTAAATTCTTAGTTGGGGATATGAGGCCACACAGGTAGAGACAACTCATCACAAACTTACCTGTGGACCAATTCACAAAATCTCAGGAGAACTGCTTTTTAATTCTTTCATCCAGATCTGAGTTCAAGATTGGCAAGTTTTTTTACTATAATCCTTTGCATGATAGGAATCATTTTTCATACTGACACACTAAAAGGGTTTTCTATGCAGGTAATGGTGCCTCTCCTCTCCTGCCTGGTCCTTTCAGTGGTGGCCCTGAATGGTTGCCTTTGGGTCCCTGGTTGTACAGACTTCTTACTTGTGAATCTTTATACTTAGTCATCATTCCTGACAACTGAGACATTTTTCCTCTTTCCTTATTACTCTGGCTGCACGTTTGACATTATTTTTGTTTATTTTATTCATCGTTTTATTGTGTGTTGTCTTGGAAAGGGATTGTAGTATATCTAACTCAAAGGAACGTTAGACTCAAGATTAGTTGTGTGTGTGCGCATGTGTGTGCGTATGTGTGTGTGTGTTTGTGGAAAAGCTATCAGATCTGAAGTGGTACAGGCCTGGCTTTTAATCTCAGTCTCCCCATTTGCCAACTTTGTGAACCTGTGTGACTTCTTGTTTTCTCTGAATCATGGTTCCTATGAGTGAAAAACAGAGACCACTTACTATATATAATTCACTGTGGCAAAATTAAATGAGATTGCATTGCCTAGGTGACCAATTTAGGTGAACAATAAAGATGGCTCTCTTCTTCCTTTCAGCTTCTAAACTGTTGTTGTGTGCTTATCTTAATCCCACAATCTTATTTGAGATCATAAGTGTTTGCTAAAATAATAAAGGAATTACTCATCTGGATAATTGTTTCTTTCTCTAATTCACTTTGCCTAAAACTTTAAATGATTAACCTGGAGGAGTAATTTGAAGAGCATAAATAATCTTTCTGTTCAAAACTAGAAAACAAAACTTCTTACCTTAAAATAAATCTTTTGCGAGTGAACAAATGTTCTTTAAATGCAAAGGAGTTTCATTATTGCTTTAAATCAAAGAGTTCTCAAAATGGCAGTAATGTAAAGCAGCCTAGAGGTATTCCAAAGACTATAGTCTTATGAAGTTTATACTGTTTCTGCAGAAAAACATTTACATTAAGTAGGTAATACTTAAATGAGATTGAATATAAACTAATAGGCTGAAATCTATATTGTTCTGGAAATCAATAATCAGGACACACTAGAAAATGAAAAGAAATAGATAATAATGTAAAAATAAAGTTAACATAATTGAAGTAAATGTTTACCTATACATGTTAACATAATAGAACAAGCAGTAAAATTTTTGGTTAAAATTTCTCATTTTTGTCAACAATGTATTTGTAATATCCTCTTCCCATGAAACAGTTCCTCAGTTGTTTTAGCAGCACAAGTAGAGAAATTTAGTTTTAAAAAAATACATTTTTCTCCTTTTCAAGCCAATAAAAGTTCCTCTTTCAGTATATTATATAAAACTTAAAATTTTTTTTTTGTATTTAATCCACATAATTTTGCATGATGCTCGCTATCATACATATTGTTAATTTGTACTACATATGTGGAAACAGGGTAAGACAGCCACCTTTTTAAAAAAATTAATAATAAACTTAACAATGAAATGTGGGTAACCAAAATTCAGAGTTTAAATAAGTCTTTTAATTTTCAGAGCATTAAGAAGGCAATGATTGAAATTAATCTTTGATAAATGGATTGCTGTTAATGTAGCTAGGCATTGAGGAGAGTTGATACATGATAACGATGGGTGATTATGATGACAGAGTAAAATGGATAATGTTCTAGGTGTTCAAATATTGAGCCACATAGGTCATCCACTTTTCTTTGTAGCTTAATATTTTTATTTTTACAATGTCAATGCTTTTATCTTCATATTATTTTAGATTGTATCTTTTCTCTCTTCATCTGTGAAAGCAGTCTGTGCAGTCTTAAACAAAATGTCCCAAGTACAATTAAACTTGTATAATCATCAGTATGGATATTGGTTTTTGCACTGGGCATTCACTCAGTGATAATCTGTGGTTTGTGGGATCATTTGCTTCCGCACTAAATATTCCTGGATTGCCATGGAGGTTATAAGCATAGTTATACATGTACACATGCATGGAGTGGTTCTTTAGTTCCCCCTGCTCCGTTCCACTCTAAAACACTAAGTCTGTTACTTTCCTATACAGTGGGCCTGGATCCACATAGCCAATATGTCAAATGTGTAGCACAAAAAGTGAGAATCAGAGTGAGAATTTAAGGCCTTCTTACTTAAGAGCATAAATTTTGAAATCTGTTATTACACAATAGTGATGATTTATTTTTCTTATTTATGACTTTCAACACTATTATTAATACATGAGTTTGCAGATGAGCTAAATCTTGGAAATTTGAGGTGTTACTGTGGCTTGTATTTGATTATGCTTAGTTCTTGGTAATTTACAGAATATTTTAGAAAGATTACTTAAACTGTTTGAAGTGTGTTTGAGACATTTTGTTTATGACTACTTATATTCACATCATATCATTATTTTGCTAATTTGTTTGTATCATTGCCTTTCTTCTATAAATGAAGACTTTGAAGTCCATGTGATTTAACGCTAAGATCTTTCCAAAATAGAACGATAGCTGTGCTGAACTCCATGTCATGGATCTCATTACCCTGCGTTAGAGCAATGGAGTCAAGCAGATATTTGTTCTGTTCTATCCGTAGCTTAACCCCTGAGTGACTGTGACGATGATGCACTGTTTTTGAGTCAAATGTCACATAAAGTGATATATTCAAATGCACTTTGGACACTATAAGTTGTATAGTATAGGAGGATTTATTTTTACTAGTACTGGAAAAGAAGTGTTTTAAAGAAGAAATTCTAGGTGGTTTTAATCCCACTGGACATATGGTAAAATAATTTTAACTTATAAAAAATTTGTCTCCAAAAATAATGTATAACTTCCATTTGAACCTCCATGATATATGCTTTTCTAAGTAACATCAATAAAATCAAAGCAATTGCTTATATACACAAGTTGGAACATCTCTGTGATAAGGAGCACATGCAGAATTTTGGCACTCCTTGACTTTTCTACTAGTTATGAAGCATGTGCCACATTATCTTACTCTGTAGACTGTATATTCTGAGCCTTAGTGATTTATAGGAGAGAACTGGCTTCTATTTCAGAGTCTGTCAAAAGGCACCTATGTGATCGTAACATTTTACTTTCTCTAGACGCAATATTTGCTTTCTTAGAATGTAGAATTGTACTTATGAAAGGTCACCTAGTTATAATATTCCATGGCTTGCTTCTCTTTTTTCTTCTAAATCTCCTCTAATAGTGGAGACTCTATGTGACTGCCTGAAAGAGGCTCGTGTAAGATATAAATAAGAGTGTGCTTTTCTCACCTTTCATGAACTACTACATCACACTTCATTTTCTTGTCCATTCAGTCCCTTGCTCCCTTAGGTGACAATGTCATATCAACTTCTTTCTCCTCAAGTATCCAGTAACATCTCTCTCATTCTCACTCCAAGGTGATGTCCTTGCTTCTTCCTTCACTGAGAAAATGAAACCGAGAAAATAATGCCCCACTGCCATTTATATCTACCTTCCTGGACTTGTGACCTTATGTGTTTTCTCCCTTTCCATTACCTAAATGATCTGTCTTTTCTCCTACCTAAGGTCACCATCCAGTCATACACTAAATTCCATCCTTGTGTGCATCTTCAAAGACATTGTTCCAGCAGTTTCCCACTGTATTTGATGATTCCAACTATATTTGATTGCATCATCAAATGCTCATTTTCCACTAGATCATTCTGACCAGTGATCATTCTGATCATTCCAACCAAGCAACTATAATTTCCCCTCCTTCAAAAGCAAAACCAAACCAAACTCACCCGGCCAAAAATTCTCCTCCAGCTTCCACTGCATTTCTCTGCTTCCTCTCCCAGAGCAAACCCATTGAAATGATTGTTTCTTTGCCATCATCCCCCAAATTCAGTAATTCATCCCCACTACTCCACTGTCATTTCTCTCTTCAACTTCACTAGTTATTTCAATATTGCTCAATTTAATGGATATTTCCCATTCCTAATTTTACTTCTGTTTTTAACACCACTGACACTCCTTTCTCCTACAAATATTTTCTTACTGGCTTCTTGGGTACCCTACGTTCCTCTTTTCCTCCAATTTCTAAGCAACTTTGTCTGTCTTCACTGCTGAGTCTTTTCTTCCTTTCCATCTGTAGACACTTTAGCGGTGCAAAACTTAGTTCTTTAAGTTATTCTTTTTCTTTTACTTTTTGCACTTGCTCTTTCAGATGTCATCCATTCTCATGGCTTTGATAGTGACTAAGCTCCAGTTTATATCTTACCTTGTCCTGTTCCCTGCACTCCAGATTAAGATAGTGCAACGATTTGTACAATATCTGCAGTTGGAGGTCCAGTAGGCATTTTCAACTTAAACATGAAATTTTAGTTAAACTTCATGTTTAACTAAAACATAAGTTTAAATATGTTAGGCAAACCAAACTCTTGATTATTCCCCAAATCAGTTCCCTTCACAATGTTTCCTTTCCCAATAGAGTAAATGAATATGTCATCTTTCCAGTTGCATTAGGCAGAATCCCTGGAATCTCTCATTACTCTACTGTTTCACTAAAGCTACATCCAATCAGTTTAAAAAATAATGTTAGCTTTCTGTCAAAAATATTTCCAGGATATATCCATTCTTTCTTCTGGAAAGTAGGGATAGAACTGTTTTTCTCTATTATTTTTACTAAGTGCAAATTAAAAACTATGACTATTATCCTTTTGAAAAAATACCATAAGGCTCTGAAAGGAATAGGGAGAAAGACAGGTTGGCTTGGGATTTTAGGATTTGAGGAGTGTCATAGAACTACATTCTCTATGGATTTTTGGCCTCAAATATCCCAGATTGGTTACAGGAGAAGCCAGTAACCTGGAAATGAAATAAACCCAACCAAAACTTTTCTTTCCAGAAAAAAAGTGAGCAGTTTAACAAGACAATAAACTCTTCCAAAATAAATGCTCTACTCTACCAAAATACCACACACACACACAAAATGTGCCCTCCTTCTATTTCCAATGGCAATGACCCAGTGGAGAAGTTAGACTTAACACTCTCACCAGGCTGCACTGATGTTCTCCAGCTCTGTCTGCCAAGGTGGTGTTACAGAAATCATAAATAGGAACAAGGACTTTCATCTCTATGTTGCAAGGTCAACAACAATCCCCCACAAACTACACCTCACTGTGGTGTCAGAGGAGATTATCTGGTTGTCTGAAATTCAAATCTGTGCAGTCCAGTGATAAAGAAGCCATCCCAAACAATGGAGTCAGTTGAAACCTCTCAGAGAGCAATGATGAGACTCTCCTCCTCCCCCAAACAAGGGTTATATCAGTGGAGGCCTAGTAGGGAGCTAAAATTCCCACCTATTACCAGCAGAAACAAGAAAATTCTCACCTTGAATGAGAAGCAATAATTAACAGATATCAAGTCTGAAATGACACAGATATTAGAATTATATAATATGAATTTTAAAATAATTGTCATAAAATTTCTATATATTAGTTACAAACACCATTGAAACAAATGAGAAAATAGAATACCTCAGCCAAAAAAATAAAATCAAAATTATTGAACTAAGCAATACAATAATTGAAATAAAAACTCAATGGTTGGACTCAACAGCACAGGACAGAGAAAATAAACAGTTAACTTGAAACATAGAGAACAATAAAATTACTCATTCTGAAAAAAACAGGGAAATTGGGCTGAAAAAAAAAATAAGAAGAGTCTCAGGGACTCATGGAAATGTGACAAAAGTTCTAACATGTATTGTAGCAGCGTCTCCTGAGAAGAAAAAGAAGTCAGACTCAGAGTATTTAAAAAAAATAACGCCTGAAATTTTTCAAAATTTTGCAAAAGGTATGAACTTGTGTATTCAGGAAATGGAGCAAATCTCAAAAAGCATAAACTCAAACAAATTCATGTCGATCACTTCACAAGCAAATTCTGAGGACTAAAGACAAAGAAGAAAACTTTAAAAGCAACAAAAAAGGAATACCAGCAATGGGAAGAAAACAATCCAAATGACAGTGTAGTTTTCACCAGAAACAATGAAGGCCAGAAGGAAGTGAAACAATAGTTTTCAATTGCTGAAAGGAAAAAAAAACTGTCAACCCAGAATTCTATATCTGTGAAACATATCCTCCAGGAATCAAGAGAAAATCAAGACATCATAAGATATAAGAAATATAAGAATAGTTTTTCACTAAAGGAATGGCTACAAAGATCTCTCTCAACAGAGAGTAAATGATTAAAGAAGGAATCCTGAAACATCACAAAGGAAGAAAAATAATTAAGAGATATGTAAATACAATACATTTTCCTTTTCCCCTTAAGTTTTTTAAAGGAAGGATGATGGTTCAAGCAAAAATTATAACACTGTCTAATGTACTTCTCAATGTATATAGAGAAAATATTTATAACAATTAAAAATAGGGAAAGATAGGCCAGGTGCAGTGACTCATGCCTGTAATCCCAGCACTTTGGGAGGCCGAGGTGGGTGGATCATGAGGCCAAGAGATCAAGACCATTCTGGCCAACATGGTGAAACCTTGTCTCTACTGAAAATACAAAAATTAGCTGGGTGTTGTGGCACGCGCCTGTGGTCCCAGCTACTTGGGAGGCTGAGGCAGGATAATTGTTTGAACCAGGGAAGCAGAGATTGTGGTGAGTCAAGATTGTGTCACTGCACTCCAGTCTTGCAACAGACTGAGACTCTGTTTCAAAAAAAAAAAAAAAAAAAAAAAAAGGGGGGGTGAAGAGGGGGTGATAAAGGGACATTTAAATGAAAGTAAGGTTTCTATTACTTCCCTTGAACTAGTAAAATGCTGACACTGTTACCAGAAAGGGGTCCCAATCCAAACCCCAAGAGAGGGCTCTTCGATCTCCGCAAGAAAGAATTCAGTGTGAGTCCATAGAGTAAAATGAAAGCAAGCTTATTAAGCTAGTAAAGGAATAAAAGAATGGTTACTCCATAGGCAGAGAAGCTTTCGGGCCTGCCAGTCACCCATATTTATGGTTATTTCTTGATCATATGCTAATCAAGAGGTGAATTATTCATGCTTCCCCCTTTTAAACAATGTAGCCTAACTTCCTCACATTGCCATGACATTTGTAAACTGTCATGGTGCTGGTCGGAGTGTAGCAGTGAGGACCACCAGAGGTCACTCTTGTCACCATTTTGTTTTTGGTGAGATTTAACTGGCTTTTCTTATTGCAACCTATTTCATCAGCAAGGCCTTTATGACCTGTATCTTGTGCCAAACTTCTATCTCATCCTGTGACTGAGAATGCCGTAACCTCCTAGGAATGCAGCCCAGTAGGTTTCAGCTCTATTTTACCCAACCCTTATTTAAGATTGAGTTGCTCTGTTGCAAACTCCTCTGACAATACCAATAGACAGTGTGAGGGCCATAGGCTCTTGGCTCCCTAAAGGTCTGCTGAAAGATCACTCTCATGAGACATATTCATTAATAGGAAAAAAGGAATACAGACTTAGTTAATGTGTATACCTGGGAGCCTCCAGAAGGAAGACTCAACTTTTCAGTAAGTAATAAAAGCTTATATACCATCTTGAAATTACAGACATAATGCAGAACCAGAGTATCTCCAAAAACAGGTTTTAATAGCAAGACAGGTTATGGGAGGGAGAAAGGAAGAAGACTGACTCGCAAAGTGGCTTTGTTGTGTAGACCAAGCCTTTATAGAGTAAATGTTTCTTTTCAGACTTTTAAAAATGTCACACTCTCAATCTCTCCTGGACCTGGAAAAGGCATAGAAAGGACAGGACTGACTGCATTAATGGAGATTCTCTACAGATGCAAATTTTATTCACAAAAGACAGGCTAACAAGACCACTTCTGTTTGCTGGCCAGAAGGCAGTCATTTCAAATATGTCAAAATATATATTTTGGGGTAAAATATTTGAATTTCCTTCAAGAGTGATCTATCGATCTATCTATCTATCTATCTATCTATCTATCTATCTATCTATCTATCTAAAATTCATTGACCAAGTAGACAAAAAGAAAAGTAATATAGAAGGACTCAGAAACATTATCAACCAACCAGATCTAATGAACAAATGTACGGAACATACAGCAGATTACACATTATTTTAAAATACCAAAGAACATTTACTGTAACTGTATGAGGGGTACTTTCTGTCTGCTTCACAAATAAAGACCACAGTATTGCAGTAAATAAATAAAGAGTTTAATTAACACAAGGCCAGCCACAGCATGCAGGAGACAGAATTATTACTTAAATCAATCTCTCCAGAAGTTCATAGGTTAGGAGTTTTCCAAAGGTAGGTTGGGGAAGGGGTGGGGTTGATCAGGTAATATGTGAGAGATTAAATAATAGGGAGTTAAAGCTTCTAGGTAATATGTGAGAGATTAAATAATAGGGAGTTAAAGCTTCTAGGTGGAGCCACAGGAGTGCGGTTGGTGGGGCCAGGTAGAGCCAGGCGTTAGACATGCAAAAACCTGAAAAGATATCTCAAAAAGCCAATCTTAGGTTCTACAATAGTGATGTTATTTGCAAGAATGGCTAGAAGTTGTGTATATCTACACCTTACTAGCATGCAGGCTCCTCTACTCCCCCTAGTCAGATGATACAGGCATACACACTCAGTTTTGGGGGAACGGCTATTATCATATAAACTGTAACCTAAATATCTTCCAAAATTAGCTCTGGCCTAAGCCCCGATATAATTCAGGCATGTTGAAAGTTAAAAGCAGGAGGTGGGTTTGGGTGGGTTAGCTCAGATCTTTTTAACTGTCAAACTTTTCTCACTGATGCAGTTTTTGCAAAGTTGGCTTTATTATTATGTTATAACATATTTTTGACCGTGAAATGAGTAAATATCAATATTTTAAAATAATAGAAATCCATACAGTGTGTGTTCTCTGACTATAATGGAATCAAAGTAGAAACCAATAACAGAGAGATACAAGGAAAATCTTCAAACACTTCATTAAAATGTGAGCGCCTAACAGGCAGAAATTTTTAAATCAGTTTGTTCTCTGTTGTGTTTATAGCTTGTAAGTCAGTGCTTAGTATATAGTAGCCACACAACAATTATTTGAAATATTCAGTATTGCAAAAAACAATCAAAAATCATCTCATTTCTCCTGGTTCTGAATTCTGCATTTAAGTTTCATTGAATTTTTATAATTTAATAATCCCTTTCCAAAAGTTCATTTATTCACTTATTTTTTGCACTCAACATGACTATAAAACCTTTAATTTTTAACTCAAGTTAACTTCTTCATCCTTTCCCCTATATTCTTGCCAAAGGATGACCAAAAGCTATTCATCCAAAGGCAATAGCGGAATGCTATCTGACAGAGAGATATTGTGGATATATTCACAAAGGCAGTATTTTCAAGTCAACTACAAACAAGAGTAGCTTTCAAATAAATCAGTAAATTAAAGCTCAGTACATGAAATGACTCTCAGCTTGAGAAAATATATAAGGAAAATGGAAAAGAAGCATAAAGCAAATGAGAAATGTAAAAAATAAAATAAAACCTCTGGAAATTGGCCCAAAAATGTGATGATATGAGACTTAACTGACTAGCAGTCAGAGAAAGGTAAAGTCTGAGTGCCTGATATCACATTAGGGAGCTGAAATGAAGTGGTCAAGTCCTTAACTTCAAATGGTGGAAGACTCAAGTATTGGAAACCCAAAGTTCTTCTAAAGTCTTGGATATGGGGATGGTCTAAAGATGGAGATACTGATGGAACCTGTGTTTGAGGTTTTAGAGAGCATCTCTTGCTGTAGACAAAAGACCCTTCTTCCCCAGTCTCTGGTCCTAACAGTAAATAAACATGATGTTTGATTTTGGAATGAGTGAATCAAAGGTTCCGGGAATGTGCTCCAGGTGAAACTGTGATGAGGCACTGCACCGCAAATGAAGGGATTAAAAATGGCAAGGTAGCGAGATGTGCAAGGTACCCTCCCTCAGGGTCACTCCTCTCCCAGAATACAGAACCTAGGTCTGTAAGTCCTTGGCAAGTAAATGGAAGTTTCTTTTCAGACAAAATAAACAAACAAACAGAAACGAAAAAAGATAATCTCAAGAGAAAGCCTCAACAACAAATACTGACATTTGGAAGCCCCTCAGCATCTGTAAAGTGTACTAATCAAAAATCTAGCCACATATATACAGTTTCCACTATCATTTTTACACCATGCATGGATGAGTGATCAAAGATCACTAGTAAACACATTGAAGAAGTAAATTGTGAAAAGGCAAGCATGGAGTTAGGAAACAGATCCTACACAGAAATATGATACAAGAGTCCAGGAATGGGATGAATAGAGGTCTCAGGGCAACAGCTGTGTAGCATACAAAGAACTTAATTAGCTGACATGGGAACAGGAGGATGTATGAGTCCAGGAGAGAGATAGATTTTTAAAAAGTTAAAAATCACACTATCATACTATTGAAAACATTATAATATGTGACTTTATTAAGACGAGTTTTACTGTTCTGTCAAGTTTGGGAATCAATTTCATGACAGACAAGTATATAGAAAACTAGGAAAATTTCAAAAGCCATTTAGGAACTTCAGGAAATGCTAAGAATTGCACAAGATGGAAACATAATTATGCTATACTTACCGTATTAGGTGTGAATAATATTTCCAAGTAATTACATAAACATTGAATACTGATTCACTAGAAAATTATAATTATCTTTACAGGTGAAACTGGAATATAAAAAGTGTATGTGTATAGCATTGCTTATGAGAAATCAATATTTTTTTCTGTAATAGAAATACCATCTTAAAATGGAAGACAATAAATCACAAGTATATTATTTAGTAATATGTGATGAATCATAAGAAGAAATGACACAAGATTTGCATCTAGGCAGGTGAAAGCTAAGTGGAGATAAGTGCAAAAAGAGATTTTTGTTGTTGTTGTTAATACAACTCATTTAGAATATTAGACTTTTAACACAGGGGTCCCAACTGGCACCAGTCCATGGCCTGTTGGGAACCAGGCCACACAGCAGGAGGTGAGTGGCAGGTGATCACACATTACTGTCTGAGTTCTGCCTCCCATCAGATCATCAGCAGCATCAGATTCTCATGGAAGCTCATATCCTATTATGAACTGCACATGCCAGGGATCTAGGTTGTGCACTCGTTATGAGAATCTAATATCTGATGATCTGCCACTGTCTCCCATCACCCCCAGATGGGACCACCTAGTTACAGGAAAACAAGCTGAGGGTTCTCACTGATTCTACATTATGGTGAGTTGTAGAATTATCTCATTATGTATTATAATAGAATAATAATAATAGAAATAAAGTGCACGATAAATGTAATAAGCTTGAATCATTCCTAGTCCAATCCCCACCACCCTGGTCTATGGAAAAATTGTCTTCCATGAAACCAGTGCCTCATGCCAAAAAGGTTAGGGACTGCTATTTTAACATACATACATTACTTTGATACAGATAAAAAGTAAGCATTAAACTGAATTATGTAAAATAAAAGTCAGTCTGATATTATTGGTAAAAAATATTGGAGGGTGACATTTGAATCAAGGAAAACACTTAGGAGATGCAATGGGGTGCTGAAATAAGCTTGCAGTGAAGAAGCAAATTGGATGAATTCCTAAATCCCAGTTGTTTTATATTCTTCTGTAAATCAAGTACAAAGTAGAGTGTCTGGCATTCTGGAAGTCTTCACTAAATTTAATTTCCTCCATTAAAAATGTTTTTTATTTTTTAGAACAGTTTTAGATTGACAGAAAAAATTGCAAAAATGATATAGTGATATGCCACACACCCAGGCTCCCCTATTAACATCTTACATAGTATGGTAAGTTGGTTACAGTGAATGAATACATTTTGATAGGTAAATTGTAACACAAGTCCATAGTGTATTTGGATTTTCTTAGTTTTCATCGATAGTCCAGGATCGCATCCAGGACACCACTGTATGTAGTCCTCAGATCTCCTCAGGCACCTCTTGTCTGTGACACTGTATAAGAATTCACTTGTTATTGCTTTCAGCAATAATGATATTTGGTCAATGAAGGGCCACATATATTACACTGTATCATAAGATTATAATGCAGCTGAAAAATTTCTAGTTATACCTTAACGATCCTGACCCTGTGTAGGCCTAGGCTAATATGTGTGTATATGTTTTAGTTTTTAACAAAAACATTTTAAAAAAAATAATAATAATAAATATAAAGGCTTATAGAGTAAGAATATAAAGAAAATATTTTTACACAGCTATACAATGTGTTTGTGTTTTAAGCTAAGTGTTACTAAAAGTCAAAAAAAAAGTTTATAAAGTAAAAAATGTTACAATAGGCTAAAGTTAATTTATTAGTGAAGAAGGAAAAGTATTTTAAAATAAATTTAGTATAACCTAAGCATAACGTGTTCATAAAGTCTACAGTATTATAAAGTAGTGTGCTATCATTCACAATCACTCACCATTCACTCACTGACTCACCTATAGCAACTTCCATTCCTGTAAAATGAAAAATATTCAGGAAAAAAATACAATAAGACGTAATACAAATTTAAAAAGCAATAAAGTATAACTACTGTATAGGTTATGATATAGCAATATAGTATAATCGCTATTTAATAACTATTTATATAGAACTTACATTATATTTAGCTATTTTAAGTAATCTAAAGATGAGTTAAAGTTTACCTGGAGATGTATGTAGATCACATGTAAACACTATACCATCTTATAAAAGAGACTTGAGCATCTGAAGATTTTGGTATTCCAGGAAGATCATGGAGTCAATCCCCCACAGACACTGAGGAATGGTTATGTATACTTCTACCTACATAGATATAAAATTTCTTACCCACAATAAAGGTTTCACGAAAAGCAAAAATCAATGTTAATTCTTAGTTTTATGGTAATTGGCCCCTAAATTACCATTATGATATATGTTACAGTCAAAAATATTATTTAACAACAATCTAAAATTACAAGCCAATTTTACTAAGTAAAATATTAAACTTTGCAGAAATGTAAACATAATAATTAGTATTAATATCAATATTTATAAATGGTATGAATCTTTTAAAAAACTGTATCAAAAACACTGTTAAAGAAAACAGACACTAATGCAAATATTCAAATATGTATGTATACACTTTTTTTATTTTTAATTTTTTGAGTCAGGGTCTCCCTCTGTTACCCAGCTTGGGTGCAGTGGCATGATCATAGTTCACCACAGCCTGAAACTATTTGGTTCAAGTTGTCCTGCCTCAGCCTCCCGAGTAGCTTGGCCTACAGGTGCATACCACTGGGCTTGGCTAAGCTTTTTTATGTTTTGTAGAGACAGGGTCTCACAATAATCTCAACCTGTTCTCAAAGGCGTGGCCTCATGCAACCCTCCCACCTTGGCCTCCCAAAGCAATGGGATTAAAGGCATGAGTCGCTGCACCCAACCTCAAATACATTTTTACCTAGTAATTTAAAAATATTCTCAGAAAAACTTTCTATATTATGCCAAGAGGCAGTGTTGGGACAAAATATTCAACAATTCATTAGATGTTTTGAATTAGTGAATCTTTGTCTCACACAACCTTTTAAATATATATTTGTCTGAATCAATTAGAAGTCCCATGCTAGAGTTTTCAGTTAGAGAAACAGTAGATTAGACAAAAGGAAACAATGATGCTTAATACAGCGCTCCTCAGAGACATTACCATCTAAATAAGTGTTGAGAAATAGGAGACAAGACGAGGTGCAGTGGCTTGCACCTGTAATCCCAGTGCTTTGGGAGGCAAAGGTGAGAAGACCACTTGAGGCCAGGAGTTGGAGACCAGCCTGGACAACATAAACTCCATTTCTGCAAAAAATTAAAAAGTTAGTTGAGCATGGTGGCATATGCCTGTAGTCCTAGATACTGGAGAGGCTGATGCAGAAGGATCTCTTTAGCCCAAGAATTCAAGGTTACAGTGAGTTATAATGAAGCCACTGCATTCCAGCCTCAGCAACAGAGTGAGACTCTTGTCTCTTGAAAGAAAAGAAAAGCAATAAGAGACAGAATAGAACAGGGGATGAATATGTAGGCAGTGGCCCCTAGTGCCTGCATTTCAATCCAGAGAATTCACCACTAACTGACCTTGGTAAAGTTACTTAACATTGCTGTGCCTCTGTTTATATTACAGATGCATATTTGCAGAAACAAAAGTGAAATTGTACAATTTTCAATTCTTTGCAAAGCTAACAAGGAATATTTAAATTTTAAATAGTCTCCATTATCTAACGACCTTAAGTCAGATATGAAGGACTTGCTACAAACTGCAATTTTCAGTGGACTTTAGGGAATGTTAATCTTTTTCACCACTACACCTGTAGCAAGAGAGAAAAACCCTGAGAGCTTACTGGGGCAACAAATCAAAGGGAATGAAGCAAGAAACCTCAGAAGTGCTATAAATATGAGTCTAAAAGAATTTATAGGAAAGGACATTTTTTTTTGTAATCTATTCCCTTTAATTAGATTTTTGTAAAATTGTCTAGGGAGGTAAGTTCTGTGCCTAAGTCTTCTAAGATGGGATGCTATTACTTCCTTAGGATCAAGGACCCCATTGTTCATTTAAAATAGCATCAAAAATACTTGGAATAAATTTAACAAAATTATAAAATATGTATTCTGAAAACTGAAAATCATGAATAAAAGAAATTAAAGAGAACCTAAATAAATGGAAAGACATACCATTTTCATGTATTAGAAAACTCAGTATTATTGTTTATATTATAATAATATTACCAAAATTGATCTACATTTAAATCCCTATAAAACAATCCCAGCTAATTTCCTTGCAGGAATAAACAAACTGGTTCTAAAATTCATATGGAGATACAAGAGATTTCAAATAACAAAAACAATTTTGAAAAAAAAAACAAAAGAAAAGAGTTTGAGGGTTCATATTTCCCAATTTCAAAAATTACTATGACTAGACAGTAATCTAGGGTGTGTGGTACTGGTAAAATGATAGGCATATTAGATCAGTGGAATAGAATTGAGAGTTCAGAAATAAACACATTTATAGTCGACTTATTTTTAGCAAGGGTGCCCAAACCAATGAAGAAAGAACTGTCTTTTCAGCAAATGGTTCTCGGACAACTAAATATTTACATGTATAATAATGAATTTGGAAACCTACCTCACACCACATGCAAATGTTAATTCAAAATACATGAAAAATCTAAATTTAAGAACTAAAATTATTAAAATTTAGAAGGAAACATACATGTGAATCATTTTGACATTGGTTTAGGCGATGGTTTTGTAAATTTGACATCAAGGTGCAAGTTACAAAAAACACAGAAAAAATAGATAAATGGCACATCCAAAAATGTAAAACTTTTGTGCTTCAAATAACACTATCAATATAGTGAAAAGACAATACACAAAATGGGAGAACACTTTTGTAAGTCACAGATCTAGTGTGGTATTTATATTTAGAATGTGTAAAAAGCTTTCACAATTCAATTAAACAGGCAATAAAAAAATGGGCAAATAATTTGACTAGATGTTTTTCTAAAGAAGGTAAATAAATGGTAAGACAATGAATAAAGTGCCATCAGGGAAATTTATATCAAAACCATTATATACAACTTTTTATCAATTAGGGTGGCTATAATCACAAAGACAGATAATAAGGTTTAGTGAGAATATAGAGAAATTGAAATTCTCATACATTGTTGATGGGAATATAAAATGATGTGGCCACAATGAAAAGCAGTCTGACAATTTCCGCTTTCAATACTTGGTATATATGCAAGAGAAATTGTTACAAATGTGCCAAAAAATGCTTGCACATGAATGTTACAGCAGCTTTATTCATAGTAGCCAAATAAATTAATTGTGGTGATGAATGCAGACATGTGACTATGCTAAAAGTCATTGAATTGCACACTTCAAATGAGTGAATTTCATGGTGTATGAATTATATCTCAAAAAATATATTTATAGAAAGACAAAAACTGTGTATATTCACATATTTATAAATTTTTTTATGCATAAACATCAATACCAATATTAAGCTAAACATGAGTTTATACTGATGTCCCCAACTAGTTTCCATAACCTCATGAAACTTTTTAGCCTCCTCCTCTTGCTTATCTGTGAATTCTTCTCCAACATTGAGAAACCTGGCTTCCCTTCATCCACCATCCATTTACTTGTTAAATTTCAATATACATGCATAATAGTATTAGAATTTTTTATTATTATTATACTTTAAGTTCTAGGGTACATGTGCACAACGTGCAGACTTGTTACATATGTACACATGTGCCATGTTGGTGTGCTGCACCCATTAACTCGTCATTTACATTAGGTATATCTCCTAATGCTATCTCTCCCCGCTCCCCGCACTCCACAACAGGCCCTGGTGTGTGATGTTCCCCAACCTGTGTCCAAGTGTTCTCATTTTTCAATTCTCACCTATGAGTGAGAACGTGTGGTGTTTGGTTTTCTGTTCTTGCTATAGTTTGCTGAGAATGATGGTTTCCAGCTGCATCTATGTCCCTACAAAGGACATGAACTCATCCTTTTTTATGGCTGCACAGAATTCCATGGTGTGTATGTGCCAGATTTTCTTAATCCAGTCTGTCCTTGATGGACATTTGGGTTGATTCCAAGTCTTTGCTATTGTGAATAGTGCCACAATAAACATATATGTGTATGTGTCTTTATAGCAGCATGATTTATAATCCTTTGGCTATATACCCAGAAATGGGATGGCTGGGTCAAATGTTATTTCTAGTTCTAAGTCCTTGAGGAATCCCCACACTGTCTTCCACACTTCTGTCTGCAAGTTCCGCCAATAAAACAACCCTTACAACAAAGTCAATTTGTCTTCCTCATTCTTTGGTTTCTTGGCTTTTTCAGCATATGGGGGCCACTTTGTGTAAATGACCCTTTCACAGTACATTTCCACAGTGACTGGGGTCAGCACATCTTCCCCCTGCCCCATCGCTGAGGTTATAACATACATTCGTAATGTAGTTTAAGTGTCACAGACTGCATTCCTTCTTTAGTTCTAAATTATTTTTAACCATTTGCATACATTAAGGTTACTCTTGGTGCTCTAAATTTCTGTGAGTTTTGACAATGTATAATGGGATGCGATTCCTATTGTAATATCATGTAGAATAGTTTCATTAACACGTAGACTCTGTGTCAGTGTGGGTTTATGAGTTGTAACAAATGTTCCCATCTCATAGGGGATATTGATAATGTGGGAGGCTATGCATGCAGAATCTCCATGTCTTTTTGCAGCTTGATTGCTCACTTTAAAAATTGTTCAGTACCTCACTGTATAGATGTACCACAGTTTGTTTATTCATTTACTTATTGAAGGGTATCGTGTTTGGCTATTTATACTTATTGGTGATAATGGATATAGATAGTATAAATATCTGCGTGCAGATTTTTGTATAAACACAAACTTTCAATTTATTTGGGTAAAGACCTAGGAGTGTCATTCCCAGATCAAATGTTAAGACTAGGTTCAGCTTTATAAGAAACTGCCAAAATCTCTTTTGCATTCACACCGATAAGAAATGAGAATTAGCCTTGAACAGAATTCTTGTAAGCATTTGGTATTGTCAGTGTTTTGGATTTTAGCCATTTTAATAAGTGCATAATATCATCTCATTGTTATTTTAATTTGCAATTCCCCCCTGACAAATGATGTTGAACGTTTCTTCATAGGCTTGCTTGCTATTTGCATATCTTTTTTGATTAAGTCTTTGTTCAAATACTTTAGCCACTTTTTAATTAGGTTGTTTGTGTTCTTACTGAGTGTTATGAGT